ATGAAGTTTTTCACGTGAAATCTCATGCTTTGTATTACTTGCACATATTTTGTCGTTAAAAGTTAGTTCTTCGTGCTAACCTAGACAAAAAGGAGCTGCAGTAGTTGTGGTAATGAGCTTTATTTTGTTTTTCCTTTGCATTTTTGTATGTGGTTACTTTGAGGAGCGGTTTATATACGAGTTAAGTATCAAATGGATTATGAATTAGGAACTGCATCCTTTACACTCGCTCATTTATTTTGACGCTAAATTGGTACTGACAATTGTAGCAGGTGTGCGAGAAATCGCCATCAGCAATTCTCAGAAGAGAGAGTCATCGACAGCCTTACCAGTGAGTTGGTATTTACTATAATTCGGATTACTTTCGAATGCCTTTGCCTGTGGCAGAGCATAAATATGGAAGGGCCTTTGACTGAGGCTGCACTAACGATTCCCACTCCTATTCGCATTTGTGTTTACAATTAGGGAATGAAACACAGTCCTGCGAACTTAGTCGATCCATTCGAACGTGTGATTTCCCAGGAACTTTATTGAATATTTCAACTTTGGCACTGAGAAAATTTCAGTAATCGTAAAATTAAGCGGAGGAATTGAGCCTGGCAATTGGTCTAATTATTCCATGTTAGTGATATTACTGGAATGCTCTCGTATGCTAACTGCAGCTGTGTAAGGCTGCTCACCTGGGATCGAAGAGATAATGATCACTGAAGTTGCATGGTGAAAGCTTGTTTTTTGAGTGGCCAAGAAAAAAAGACTTACTAATTTATTAATTTTCCTCTGATAATTACAAATAGCAATATTCAGATCTTTGATCCTTGGTTTGCCAATAAATTTGTTCTATCGCTTCTTAAACCTATGGCCCAATATGCATTGAACCCCTCAAATAGCAAGGGGTTTAGGACGCGATAGTTCCAATTTTTCATATTTGTTTGTCTTCTGATGTCCAATTTCTGTGCATTTTCGTGATTGTCTGATCAGATTTATTACTTAATTTGCAGAAAATCTTTTTACTTTGTCAAATCAGTATGGTACTTATCAAAAAGCATCTGTTTTGCTAAAAAGTGCAAAAATTACATAGTTACCTTTTGCACTTCATTACTTTTTTTTTGCGACTTGACGTCATCATGAGCAAACAAGCTATACTGGCAAATATTGACGGAGATTATATACGAAAATATTAATTATGTTTAAAAATTAGACGAAAAGAATAGCGGATGGAGAACTGGCAAAGGAGACACGCTTGACTTTTAAGTGATTTAGAAAAGCTACAGAGATACATGTTAACATGAATTTTACACGCCGCATGAAGTAAATGTAGTTGCCAAGACATGTGTAGAAAACATTTTTTGCAAAATCAGAAGCTGCCGAAAATCGGTACCATCCTGAAGCTTCGTTAATCTTGATTCGCTAAAATCACAATTTATTTGCTGATTATGCTTAAGAGTTACTATATTGTAGTTTTTGATAAAAAGCTTGTTGTGTTAACTTATATACCAAAGGCAAATCACAAAACTTTGGATATTTCGAAAAGCTACAGAGATAATGCCCTTTTTTGAAACTATTCCCTGACAATAATCGTAATTAAACCGATCCAGTTGCTCAAGAGCAGCAGGTAGGTTCAAAAACTTCTAAAGATTTGTAAGATCTATTTAACGTTTACCCGCGGTAAAGTAAATCACCAGTAGGACGACCTCCGAAAAAGTCCGCACACAGATCGAACAAGCGAGGGGTAGTAACTGCATTTGCTGATGACAACTTTCATACTTTTGCAATTTTTTGAAAAATATTGAAATTTGGAACATCAGTGTAGGTATTCCAGCTGGTGATGCAATTATGCAACCGCGGATCGAAAGGCATTACTGCGGCCAACATGTAGAGCATCTCAGTGGCATCAGTAGCTGGAATACCAACGCTGATGTCTCAAATTTCAATATTTTTCAAAAAGTTATAAAAGTCTGAAAGTTGTCATCAGCAAATGATTTTCTATATTTTTTAATTACTGACTGGTGTGCATCCGGGCGCTCTCCG